TAGTTACGTTTACTTACTACTACTACTTATTTAGTTACGAGTACGTAGTACTACTAGTAGACTATAGTAAGTACGAGTAGGGGGGGGGGGGGGGGGCAGCAACTGCCAAACTCAGAAATTAACAAACATTTTCTTTGGTCAAAGAATAAACATGTGTACATATTGTTATGTAAACACTCAGTTACATGAATAGAAACTTCCTCCACAAGGTATTTTGTAAAGTTTGTAATGAATCTAATTTTTTTAACTATAGCTTTGGAAATCAGTGGAATGTGTTTAGAATATGTAATAAAAGTAGTGCTATGTTTAATGTTATCCATTCGATATTCTATTACACATGACCGTGATCTATATAAAATTATCAAATTTATAGTACAAAAACACTGAACAGTGTTAGTTTTAACCTATTCTCAACCTCTTAAGTGCCATGAAATGCAAAGTTTCTGAGGGCTCAGCCCCTATAACAATCTCACTGATGCCCAAACTAAATCCTATATTAGGCCCCACTTGAGAGAGAATATTCAATGTTAAAGCTCCCTTAATACAGTATGTCTTGCACATCAAACTCAAGGATCTTCAAGGTTACGTATATAGTGTCATCCTTACACCTAGTATAAGAATTACTAAAACTACATCATATTTTTTTTTGCTGCTTCAAGTTTGTTTTTTCAGCAATGATGTTGTCTATCATTCAAAAAGGTATTGTTCACCTTTCACACTTTTCATATTTAAACCATTAAACCATGCTTAACGGTTTGCCTAACACAAGTCTGTAAACCACACATGAACAAAAGAACAAATGATGAATGACAAGTTACAAAACTTGTCAGAATCTTCAATGTAAAATTTGTATCAGTAGGGAAGGACCAGGACTTAACCAAAAGTTTTTTTTTTTCTGATCGACCAAATATTTGTAAGAGCATGAAACTCACTGGTTCATTCCAGTGAGATGTTCTTTCAAATGTTTTTTCACTTAATATTCATGATAAAATACAGGAAACCAACAAAGATATAGCTTAGTTAATTGACTCCCGTCAGAATAAACTGGTGCAAACTATGTGCTACCTACTTGAAAAAAAAATTCTATAACACAAAGTAGATAATGTATGAAAAGCAAGAAAAAAAAAGTACAGATTAAATCTACAATTTGATGTTATTCCACATTCCCAGGATTATTAAATCCACAATTTGGTGTAAATGTTTCAGATTTTCAAAACTGCCATTAATCTAACAAGTGCATATGCTGATCCACAAATTAACTAATAATAAAAATAATTAAAACTTAGTTCAGTGGATAAAAAACTCAACAGTCTATTTAAGTTAACTTTGCTAGAAAAACTGATATGTGAAAATGCACTTAAATTTGTTTTTTTTTTATAAAGGAAACAATTGTAATTCAATTCTACTGAAGAAACAGAGGAAACAGTCAAAGAGCAAAAGATAGAACTTACAAAAAAAGAAAAAAAACTGATTTAACAATCAAGACATTACATCAGCATTATTCAAACTGCTGTGTTTAAAATTTTGTATTTTGTTTTAATACTTTGTCGATGTTGTAAATGCCACACCAAAGATGCTGGGCAATTAATTGAAGTTTCTTTTTCTGGGATGCAATTTTTATTTTCTATTTGTGTTTCCTCTGTTTCCACCTTTTCCTCGTCCTCTGTAGCCACTTGCAGGCCCCCCCCTCTGAGAAGTGTGATTTGTATTTGCACCACTTCTTTTGTCATTAGGAATGTAGTCACTGAGAGTTGCAGGATGAGTACCAGTACTGTTGTTGTAGCGAGAATCTCCTGCCCATCTGCGACCAGGTCCCTGTCCTGGACCTCCACCCCTGCCTCGGCCTCTTGGAGGTCCTCCTCTTCCTCTACCAATGTCCACATCAGAACTGTATCCTCTGTCAGGACCTCCTTTTCGTGGTACTGGGAAGTTCAAAATGCTGCCCATTTGACTCCTGAGCTGTTGGTCAATTTCTTGTTTTTCTTGTCGTAGTTTTTCAACCTCCTACATATTAGAAAAAATGGCACCATACCATGAAAATCAATGATTTAAAAAAAAAAAATTATTTGCAATACTTTTTATATTTTATGCTTATTCAGTCCCTGTTATTGCTATCATCTCTGCAACTGATAAATTATATGTATATGATTCAATAAAATGCACAAAGTTCTTCCTTTCCATCAACATCTCCAATGATTAAAATAAAATTACAATTTAACTTCAATTAGTTCTACTAAAAATGTGGTATGGAAGTTAAATATAATAGTTATTTACTATTATAAATATAATGTTTTTGTTAATCTTATTCTTAAAAACTAATCTGGCAAAAGTTTGGATATACACTTTTAACTACTGTTTAAATACAATAGATCTCTGTAATATGACCATCAGATCAATATGATCACTCTGACCAATAAATAACTTTTTAGAAAAGCCTAAGTATCTGAAGAAGTATTTTTTCTTGTAAAATGAACTTGAACTGCTAATTACAAATCAGTAGAGCTCACCTATAATTTTAGGAAATTGTCTAAATAAAAGAGAATCATCAAACTATATATGCAAGAAACAAACTATCAGGATCTGATATTTTTCAAAGTAACAAAAGTACAGAAATTATTGTACTGAGAAAGTATTTTATTACCAAAGTAAAAAGAATATACTTTTTTTAAGCAATAATAGAAAAAGATTCCTAAATCATTAAACTACAAACACTAATACACAAAAAAACCTTTCACATTCAAAATAAAATATTTTTAAATTAAAATCAACTTGAAATAGCTTTCTCTGGCATTCTGACTTTGCACTCTGCATAAATCCTGTCATTAAAGTTCATCACCGTCATATTATATCCACATTTTCATTAAATGTGACAGACCACTTAAATAAAATTCCATAAAAAGAATAAAAATCTCTTTCTAGAGCATTGAATATATATATATGTATATTGTATAAGACAGATATCAAGAAACTGCTTAAACTGAACATAACATGTTATTCTAGCAGCTTTCTAACATACTATGGATCATTCTGATTTGGACTTGAACAGTCCAAATTAACAGAAGGAAAGAATGGTATACATAAGTCAGTTGAAAATAAAACCTGGGAGAAAACAATGTATTATAGGTCACAATGACATCTACCGAATTCTAGTACCAAAACAAGACAAGAGAAACAAGAAGCAGCTGACTAAAGGCTCAAAAGGGGAAGAACCTATAAGCCCAAAATCATCAATTTCTTTTTTATACTGTTTGTTACCAGCACAGTTCATATATTGTACGAAACTGACCAAAACAATTGGGTAAAATTGTTCACAACAACCAACAGAGAAAATCTGACTAACAACTGTTCTACTGCTCAGAATATTCCAATGAGAACAAAAACAGTTTGAAAACATAGCAAACAGACAAAGTCTGACACAACAAAACATATACAGAACCATACCAATGGCACTTCTACTGGTGACTGCAGGTGAAGGAAAATACCTAAAAAAACCTCTTATCAGCAAGGTGTCAGTCCACTATTTCTATGAACAAGAAAATAAATTTTCCCGACAAGATCCAATAAACGTAGAAATAAAACAGGAAAGAATAACTGAAATGCAAAAATAAAATATGAGATGCCAAGCCTATTCATAATAAGGATAAAAGAACTAGTGAAAAAAAAGTCCAAGTCTGTCTTCAGAAAAAGCATCAAATATTAACTGGACTGAAGAAAAAAAGATTAAGATCTAACTTCTAAATTACCCACAACATTCTGTAAAGGAAAAGTTAAATAGAAACAGGCCAATAATCTTTGGCAACCAATTATAAGTATGACAATAAGCAGCTTAAGAAGCAAAATAAGCTACAGGAGAGGATTCAACCAAATTTTTATCAACACAGCAAACCATATAAGAGTAAGGATGAATAGCAAAACAAACTATAGAAAATGATCCAACAACAAATGGTCATCAAAAGAGCAAACCCTCTAAGGATAAAGATGAATACCAGATGTTAGTTAAGGTGGCACCATAAGCACCTGCCAACTCAACTATGTTCGGAAGGAATATGAAGAATTTGCTCTCATCAGACTTGTATTACAAATGTGAAGAGATGGGGTTAGCAGATCTAAATTCAAGGTGAAACGGGCAAAATATCAGAAAACTGACCCCAGAGATTAAGGAAAGGGAGTTAAAACATTAGACACACAAAATTCACAACCAAAACAGCTCAAAAAAAGAAAATGTAGCTTCAAAAGAGAGGGAAAAATCTTTATCATAGGTTATAGGGTCACTATTTGAATGCTACAAAGTGACTTAATTCCCTCACTATGGGTCCAGTCAATTAAGCGAAGTCTGTGATCCCAAAGCAACCATCATAGTTTCCATAATATAACTTTTAATGTTTTTTGTATCTTCAACAAATTTTTGAAGCTTTTTGCAAACATTACAAATCTTTTGTACAGAGAAAATCAATTTCTTAATTAATACTTTTTTTGAATTTCTCTGTGAATATATGGAGTCAAAGTGTTGACTGCTCTGTGTGCAAAGTAATTTCCATGTTAAGAATAAAAATACTTTTCTTCATCTGAAAACTGTCAAATATTGATTATGTTATCTCTAAAACCTCATAAATAAATATCAAATATTTTAAAATTAAAACTTTATATTTTATCTGCTATTTTCTCTACTCTAACTCTATATGTGATTGGTCAATTTGACTGACCTTGTAACCACCATAAAAAATACAAAATAAATCTAAATTACCCTCTTTCTTTCTAAAATGACTGAAACTTGTAACAAAAAACTATAGTTGTTTATCCTAAGTATCTTAAAGCTTGTAACAGTGTACATCTGTTTTTACTTAAATATTATTTTGTATTATTCTTTGAACTGTGTCTAACTAATAATCCCATCACACAAGTTGTAAATCACTTAGCAAACTCGTAGTTTTCTCTATTTTCTCTACTCTAACTCTAGATGCGATTGGTCAATTTGACTGACCTTGTAATCACCATAAAAAATACAAATAAATCTAAGTTACCCTCTTTCTTTCTAAAATGACTGAAACTTGTAACAAAAAACTATAGGTGTTTATCCTAAGTATCTTAAAGATTGTAACAGTGTACATCTGTTTTTACTTGAATATTATTTTGTATTATTCTTTGAACTGTGTCTAACTAATAATCCCATCACACAAGTTGTAAATCACTTAGCAAACTTGTAGTTTGTTACTGTACGAAATTACATAAATCACAAGCTGCTTGCGAGCATACCTTGTGAAGAATTATATATATATATATATATATCCCCCCCCATTATCTTATCTAATCTAACAATAACAAGCTACGCAGATCCTTCTACCACGAGATTAAACTCTATACTGCCTTCAAATCATCACTGGGTATCAGTAGCTTTTTTAGAACTAAAGACTTTATCTTCATTCTTACATTCAAAGGTCATGTATAAATACACATGTAGTAGCTGTTAGGTTACCAACATGGGCAAGACATCTAGCTATTTACAAGGCTAAATAGACTTAAACTTCAAACTCCACTATATATTCTTACAACAAAACATCATCACACTCCATTTCCTTAGAAGACTTTCCAATTCTAACTTATGGATGTAATGATCACAAACAAAATGTCTACATATTATGAACAAAAATCTAAGCCTCAATAGAAATTTAAACCCACACCCCATTGCTTTATTCAAGTAGCTCTTTCTTAGTTTTTTGTTCAATTGAATGTTATATTATTTCCTAACAGAATACATTATAATTTTATAGGAGTTATTAAACAATAAATTGTAGATAGAACCAAGGTAACCATGGATGAGGTAACAGTGCTGCATTTTAGGAACACTGTTGTCTTTAAAACAATTTTAGGTTGAATTTGAAAATAAATGTTAAAATTCAGAACATTTTTTTACCTTCTTTCTTAAATTATATAACATGTTTCCAAACACACACACACACACATAAATCTTCTTCATCTTTTACAGTTCTAATTGTAATTTTCTTTGCCTGAGGTTGGTTAATCAAAACCTAGCATAATTATGTTTTTGGAAGAATGCTTCTCACCAAGTGCACAAAGGCAATAACATTAAAAATAAACCAAACATTTGAATCTGAAATCTTGATTTCCCCTAGAAATTATGGACCTACAAAACCAGCTAATTAAAGGTTATTTAAGATTTGGTCATAAATGCACATATCTAAATTTACTGACTACAAGGTGTGAACACATTCTCAGATTTGTTACAAAAAAGTTACGCAAATAAACATGTTGAGATCAACTTAATATTTACATACAAACATATACACACAATGACTGCTAGAAATTGGGGAACATTTGGGTGCAAGTGATCATTTCTCTATTAGGTTCAATATTTTTCTGTATATGGAGATAACGAATAATGATATTTTGATTACAAATTTCAAAAAAACAAATTTTGAAGGGATGCAACAAAAATTATCTGTTGTGAATTGGGCAGCTAAGTTACTTGAAGCCACTGATCAGATATGGAAAAATTTTAAATATGCATGGTAAACATATTCCTTATAGAAAGAGAAAGGTAGCTTCAAGTAAAAAACCAGGTTGGCTCACAAAGAGTTTAAGAAATAAAATTAAAGAAAAGCTTCATATATTTAAGAAATTTAAATTGACCGGTATGAAAAGAGATTTAGAAGATTAAAAAGTTGGTGAAACAGGAAATTAGGACATCAAAAAGGATGCATGAGAAAAGGTTGGCTGAAAATGTAAAAATTAACAGTAAGAATTTATTTAAATACATTAAGGGTAAACAAAATGTTAGGATGGTGATAGGAAGGCTAGTAACTGATGACTACAATATGGCTGGGTTATTAAATTTTTCTTTTTCCTCGGTTTTTTAATAATGAAGATTTAAGCAGTATTCCACATCTTGATCAGTTGACAAATGGAAACAAGATCAAACAAGATGACTGCATTAATTCTGACCTGGTAAAGAAAAAATTGGGAAGTTTAAAAAATGGCAAGGCTCC